TTCTGGGTTTGCTTGATGTCTGTACAGTTCCTGGCATAACAGGTCCTGCTAGGAATCCCAGGAGCTACAAATAACAGCCGGTGATTTCCATGGCATAGGCTACTACTTGAAAGGGATATCTAGGGGCCATAAACCCTCTTTAATAACTAGAGAAATCTGGAAGCAGTGCTGAACATTTCAACTATAATCACAGAAGCCATTTCTTTTGCGAGCCTTCACATTCCCTGCAAGTGTTCATGGGTGTTCATGCAGAACATCTGCTAATATCAAAATGAACTTGTTCAGTAAGCTTTACTTAGATGTCAGAGTGCTTTGAATTTTGAGCCTGAAATAAACATATTGAAATGACCGTATAGCTTACAACGCAACAATAAAACAAAGTAGGACATTACAACTGAGGCCTCAGTGTCAAAACCTCATTTGATTTTCTCTGATGACTCAATCTATTTCACAAGCTATTTTCATATTCCTTATTTAAAGAACTTAGTCATGTCTCAGTAAAAACCTATGATGTGATAAAGCCAAGGAACCGTAATGTGTGGTACTGGTAACACCTCCCACGCCAAAAAAAAATCCTACTTCCATATTTATGTGGCTCTGCAAATTGGATCCTGCCTTTTTCTCCCCAGAGAGTGAGCTGGCAGCGTGTGTCTCCGCTCCAATTAGCATGAAGCTGTGAAGAGTGGAGTAGGAGGGTCAGATTCACCATACCTGGAGCCTCGCTTACTTTTGCCGTGTTACAGGCACATTTGGACTTTCGACTTCCTGGGAAAGCAAGTGTTATTTTTAGCATACAAATAACGACGCCTGCAGAATACCTTGTTCATTCAGGCCTTTGTCTCCTGAAAAAAGCTGCTCACCACCAGAAGGCAAGAAGCGAAGAAAAGCTACCTACCTTGTGTTGCTCAGGGATGGACACCTCAGTACAAATTCCCCATGGAGCAGGTGAATTTTACTGGTCAAGATGTAATTTCTGCCTTTTGGAATGTCCTTTCATCAGAGAAGCAGGAGATGACTTTGCAGCAGAGAAGCTGCAAATCACACCAGCAAATGTATGGCCTAAAAGGACGCATAGGGACACTTAAGGACAACACCCACCCATCCACCCACATCCCACAATCTGATTTGCAGCCACGTATTTTTTGTGGCAGTGTTTTTGAAGAGCTTGTTTGTCTTAGAAGCAGAAGGGAAGGGCAGCCTGTGCAAAGCAGAGACAGGGCCTGAGCAACAGCATGCACGCTTGCAACATGACTGCTCTTTGCAAGACTAAAAGCAAGGGACCAAAACCTACGTGGCACAAGCCCTCTTCAGTCCCACACCATGATCTGAAACAGGTCCCAAGTGACACCGAGGAGCCCAGGCCATAATGGTACACCATCAGGAGAGTCAATGGAGAGAGACAGTCACGTCCCAGGGCAGCCCTGAACCAACACTTCCATGGGCAGCAGAACCTGCAAAATCCCCTTTACTCTGACATTTCCTCCTATCTTCTTTGGATTCAGGTATCATAAGGGATAAGCTCTAATCAAAGCTTTGCCTAAGGGTATGGCATAAAACCTCACTTGCATTTTCTGATGTCTGAAAGCATCCTGCTCTAGAGCCTTTCCCTTTTTACAGCTACGTAGGTCTTTACTTTCCATCAGAACCTTGTTTTTGAGATCCTTACTCCTCCACCAAGCTTAGCTGGCAGATGGACACAGGCACATTGAACCAGCCAGTTCAGCCCCCATCCTTCAGCTCTGACATTACCCACACACCTGCCTGGTCTGAGCTTCCATCCCTAGGAGTGAACTACCCAAACCCAAACCCATCTGGGCTACAAGAGCCCCCTAAATCTTCCATCCTATTCAATGTGGTGTATTTGCTCAGCACACAAACCACAAAACAGAACTGCTTCTTGCCCTAAGGATGGAGGTAGCTGTCGTGTGCTGGCGTCTGGAAGCAGAGAACCAGGGTTCCTGACCTGCCCGTGTGGGGTCAAGCTCACACATCCCATCTCCCAAGTAGGTGCCATCCTGATTTGTCACACCCACCTTCACACAGCTGTGCTTGTGTCCCCAGCTCCTCCCTGCCTGTGGGAGCAGCGTGGGCAGGGTGGGAGGAGAACACGTACTCTCACTCGAGACCCCTGTGGTCTGTGGTGTCCCTTCAGAGAGGTGGTGTCTGCCAAGCGTGCCAAGGGAAAAGCTGAGCTGGGGTCTGAGATCTTGAATTAGCACTGCTCAGCAAAGCAGGCACCAGCATCGGACCATATACCTCTGGGAGGCAGCATTTACATCCCACTGTGCCCTGGCTGCTGGGGCTTCCTTCGGCCTGCAAAGAGGAGACATGGGATGGGACTAACCAAGTAGAGGGGAATCACGCCATGGGCAAGAGCACAAACCTCAGAATCCTGTGCCCAGGCATGACAACCACCCCTTTTCAGGCTCCCATGGGGTTCTGGCCCTCCATCCTTGCTGAATCACAGCCCAGCATCTCCTACTGCCAACGCTATCCACCAACACACTGTGTTAAATCCCAGGATCAGAGCCCCTTTCCAAAACCAGAGCAGCTGCCTTCCCTCTCTGCTAAATACCTGGCTCCTCTGCTTGGGCTGTGATCTTTTCCAGTTGCTGTGGTCAAACCTGCCCAGGCCAGCAGTTCCTCCATTAACCCCTCCAGCCCACCGCCTTGTGCTCTGCAGGTTCCCAAGGCAAACATCATCAGTTCTGCAGAGGGTTTCAGCTGCCTCATCCTTGGGAAACAAAACTGTCTGTCCCCCTGCCAGGGGTTATGCTGTTTTGAGAGCTGTTGGCTGCTCTGTTGCAGTCAAGGCTGTAGGTCTCTGTGCTCAGGATATAGACCCCCTCGCTAAACCTCCCTGCCTTTCTGCTCAGGTGCTTGTGGGTGCTGAGATGCTGAGAACAAGGGCTCCCCATGAAGAGCAATCAGATCTTTCAGAAAATTAATTGATTTAGTCTTACTAGATCACTTGCCTCACCTGCCCAGCTGCTGGTTCCTGTGTTCAGGTTTCCCAGAGCCCTAGCAGGGCTGCTGCTGCCACATCCCCCCAACACAGAGAAGAAATCCAAGGCTCATCAACAACAGCTTCTCACCCGTGTGATTTACTTCCCAAGGGGAGGAGGTTACAAATGGACAAACCCCAAAAGGCACAGATGCTTTGTAACTCACCCAGATATCTACCATAAATTTTTTCAACTTGGTAACTTGGAAATACAGATTATAAATGTGCTGCAATGATGAGCCAGAAAGAGCCTCAGAACTTCCAGCTGAAAAGTAGTATGAAATGGCTCAGAGGTGCTGGCACTTCAAATTATTCTTTTTTCATTAAAAAAATTGAAAAGATGAGCATTACCCACACACTTTGGTCCATGGTGTGTTGCCCAGGTGGCTACATCTCTCGGCATGTGCTCGGGAAGTAGTGGGGGCTGTGCCTACTTCAGATTTTTATCTTCAGCAAGAAGGCAAATCTTATATAAAACATGCGTGAATCAAAACAGAAGTGCCTGTCTGGCTGCTGGGAAGTGACGCCATCATGACTCATGTCATGATGTTTAAAACAATCCTCCCCCTCATCTTCTTCCCCCCCCCCAGAGATGCACCTTGGAGGCTTTCAGCACAGAGCCCAGGGGTGCTTACCCTCCTCTTCTTCCTCCTTACACCACTTCTGGGCCATGATGTTTTTCTCAGGTGCCCTCTCCTGCCACCAAGCTCGGCCAAAGCACTTCTGCAGCTCACTCCAAGTACAACAAACAGCTTTCTTTTCCTGGCATTTTTTCTTTATTTTTTCTTTTTTTACACTCCATTAAAACCACTGCAGGTTTTCTTTCACATTCACGAGATCTTCTGGAAATTATTGCCATTTCCCATACATATCACATATCAAAAAATAAGGTGGTCAACAGACAAAGAAAGACACTCACTCTGAATTCCCTGCAAACACAGAAACCAATATGACCAGTTTTCACAGAGGAAGCCTGGCTAGAAGGTGACCACACACACTAAGCAAGCCACGTAACACTGAACAAGACCACTTGACCACACAGGATACACGTGGGGAACACTTGGGGGGGATGTAGGAGGAGGTGGCTTGGAGCCAAGCTTGTCAGGTCTTTTTTTTTGGTGTAAAAATCCAGCAGTTACAGTGTCATCTGATGGGAAGTGACTCGGATGAGGATTGTGGAGACATTCAAGTATTCTAGGGCTGTTCTTAAATAACAGATGGGAGGACAATAGCTCAGCAGGGTAGCCCAATAGCTTCAGTTAGGTCCCCAGCTCTAGTGAAAAGCACATCCAGTACAAAGGCAAATGCAGAAGTACAGGAAATGCCACACCTGAATGGATCCAGGCATCCAGTTACACTGCGGTCAATACCTGACACTCCAGAGGCTGGAGCAGGAGAGGGGATTTTCACCTGGTTGTGCAATAGTGTCCTGGGAAAGGAGCTCCATGCCCCGGCCCTTTGCTCCCTGAAACAGGACACAGGAGAAGGGAGGAGGAAAGCCAGAGAAAAAGCATAATGAATATTCACTCCCACCACCTCTGCAGCTGCAAGGGTGGTGCTTTTCACTTTGCTTTCTTCCCCAATGCTTCTGTTTATTGCTTGAGACTTTAAATAAAGGTCTTTTCAAAAATAAGAAGGGAAGAAGATGGGAACTGAGAACATACTGAATGGATTTCTCATTGCTCCCCAGGAATCTGGAAATACAGTAGTGGGTGCACACTCTGTGGATAAAAACCTAAAAAAGCACTTTTTTTTAAAAAAAAAAAGGACAACAAAAGTTCAGAAAACCTGCCACACTTAGAGCACTTGCATCTTACAGTCACAGCATATGGGAAGTACGACCCACGACATCCGTTCTGTCTCCGACCAAGTCGATGAGGTTTCTCTATTGCACGTTCGTGAAATGTTCTTGTAGGGGTCACTGTCCGGATCAGAGGACCACGCCAGCTCCGGTCTCCCCAGGGTGTTCA